CTGATAAGCAAGGATATCCGAACACCAATGCTTCCTATTCTTATTTATTAACTCTTCTACCATCACATTTGTAAAAAGTGTCTGCCATTTTGGTTGATTCATATGTAAGTATTGGTGACGTACAACATTGCTTCCTGGTCTTCGGCTCATAGGATCTTTTTCTATTGTCCATCCACAGGAATTGTCGTGAACGCCCAACTTCGGAGAATCATTGTCCCCTGGTTGTTCTACACAATTAATACTCATGTTTATCTGTATCCAGACTCTAGACATGCCGTTCAGACAAATTGCTCCCGCCGCCACTCTTCACTAGGCATATGCTAAACCTCGAAAAGTTGAATAAAAGTTCCGATCAAATTTATTAGGCTTGCAGAAAGTTCATTTCACAGGCACTGTTGACCGCGGAGTTCAAGTGATTGGCAGCTAATGCAGCGATATGCCTGCGCTAGCACAGCTCTCCTTTCGCAAGCTGTAACTAGATTGGTAACCCGCGATCTGAACGTTCTGAATCTCCATCCCAATGAGGACTGGCAATCGTCAAAGTGAAATCGTTCTTTATTTATAGTGCAAGAGTTCGCAGCAATTAGTTCCGGCTTCGACTCATTTAAAAACACTTTGGACCGGGAGATACTACCCATTTTTTCAGCAAAGAAGGTTCGTAATGACTGGGATTTTGGCGTGTATGCATACCGCATCAATTCGGCAGAGGTATCAGCTCATCGGTCAAAGGATACGACATCAGGAAGTGTCGTTTGCAGCTTTGTGCTGACTACCAAGTATCTGATAGCAGTAATGAATTTGGATGTAGTGAGCGTCTTCCTACTGGTGAGCAACCAAGGAATCGAATTAAGCACATCTCCATCGGCTAACAGTGTAACGGTGAATATTACTGACGGGGGTATGCGAGTAATATGTTCTCCCGTAAATCCGATTGGCGTTTCTTGAAAAGTGAGATCTATTACGGAGTTTGTGGAGTCGCTTTGCAGCATTTGCTCGCATTTGAGTAGCAGTCAATGAATATCCAGGAAAGTTCAGGAAGACGCGTCCAAGTAGAAGATGGATATACAGTTTTCTGAACAAGATGCATGTGAGAGTTTTGTTCCCCTGTCCAGTAGTCTGTAACTGTTCAGTTGGTGTTCTCTTATAAACAACTCCGCAGCGGAGGCCTTTTCCCTTTCACCAGTTGTGTGGTCGCGGTTCCAACTACTGAACACTCTGGGTTGCGCCTGTTGGGTTGGGTCGCGTTCTCGCGCGATGTTGGTCAATAATAAATCGCCCCCGTAAATATACGGCACATGAGTTAGGGGAAGTGGTCAATGACTACTGGTTAACACCACCAGTATTTAAACAGCTCTCTTTACTTGACGCATTGAGCTCCGCGGCGAAAGTCGTGGAAGTTCGAGTTTTATTTGAAAAGTGCGATACCATGTTTGCGGCGAGGTATTGCTGATTTTCTTATCCTCAAGCACAAAGAGTAGTTTCGAAGCCGTTCATGTCGATTTTGCTTGGCAGTTGTCAGTAACGTCCCAGTGAACGTTCAGGGTTTGATTTCACCGTTATTCCCATTACTTCTTTTAGATGAACGTCATAGCCCCATCTTCGTGTGTGCCGCGACTATACTTGGTCGGTCAATACACAATAGGTCTGAATGAAGTCGCATTTAGGAAGACCAAACTAAGGCCCGCAGGAATACCAAAGAAATGGCAGATTCTGTAAATTAACGCTCTGAGGCAGAATAACTTCCATAAAATAGCTGAAAGGGTCTCGTTCGGCCGATATGTCGGATTATTGTTGATTCCCCCTGTGAATCAACTGTGAACAGCGGTAACTTCCCTTGTTCTCTGACTACTCATGAGTAAGATTACTAACGCCCGTTTATTATGATGCCGTTTGTTCGTTGCTACTCGTTTCCCCCTGCTTCGTTCCCATTTAAGTTCCACTTATTCTTCAGTAACTGATGTGAATATCTGTTGCCCTTCCGTCGTTGCTTGCAAGTTCGCGTTGGTCGTAACTATTTTCGAGCGTACACTCCGACAGGAAGTCGGGCCGACGTGGTACCGAACTCAGAGTTCACGGACGGTAAGCGAATGCGCCATGCACTTCACCAACCTGACACCCGAATGATTTATTATTTTGCATTACCCATGTATCACACCTGTCAGATAGCTTTTGGCGAGATTAGTTTTACACGGACGAAACCGCGCAACCTGACTTATCACGTGACACGAGCTGCCGTGTCGTGACGCCAACCGAAAGACAGCCCTTGACATCCCAAACGTACTGAATTCCGCAACGTTATCTCTCTACAAGACCAATCCACACTGTCAGACTGCCCCTATATGTATGATTGTACGTCGTTTAGCTTACCTGTTGTTGCTTCTAGAAGCCCCTGCTGCGTCAGTGACTATTTTCCGCTCCTGCTGATCGCGTCGTTATTGACTGTACCTTTGCTAAATTCATGATGCTTACTAATCCGTTTTTCTGTAGAACCAGTTCCTGTCAGTCCTCAATACATCATCTGCTGCTCACGTCTGTCTGCTCCTACTGTCTACTGGCAACAAACTGCGTATAATCTGATAGCCGCAATCGTCCTGTGAGATCCATAGCCGCCCGAATCTTACAATTATGAATATGTAGAAGTCGTTGACTTAAAGTGCTACTTCAAACCACCCTACACGTTGGTCGCAAGACAGCCATTCACACTAACTAAAAACACATCTTGGTATGCATTAACACCGAGTTCGCGTGTTCATTAAAAAGGATTCCTGTTGATTGTTTCCTCAAAACCCTACCTAATACTGTTCCGGGGTTTGATAACCTCCGCTCGCCCCGATGTTTTTTTTACTGAACATTCAAATTGTCAGTCCGTTATCCTACCGTAAGCTTGATTCTGGTTGCAAGTGAGCACCTAAAGCGACAGGCAGAACGGTTGAATTCCGTCGAATCTGTAGTGGTGCTTCTTTTTACTCTCGTGGTAATTGTCCAATTGATCTGAAAAATATTTCAGGTCACAAAAGAAACATCACCGAACAATAAATCTACAGATTGCTGACAAAACTCTTGGAGAATATGACATCTCGGCCGGTCCCGAAATTCCTAACACCACCAAGCGACTTCTCTAGTTTTTCAACAGACACTTTTCAAGAACGCCAGAATGATATAAAGGACGAGAGAATAACGGAACGTCATCCTAATTTCGTTCCATTTTGTTACAAGTAGAACGTAAGGTTGACGGAAACTCGGGGACTGCGCCTACCTGATGAGCTCCAAGAAGGGCGAAATAAGGTCGTGGGCTGTCGAGGATTTTCCAGCAACCTTATGAGTAGTGCATTACAGAAACAACATCCTGTTAGAAAGTCTGGGAAGTAATTCGTTACACAAATGTCTAGGATAAGCACAGCGCACCATGCGCGGTCGTGTCTGAACCTGTTGACTGAACAGCGCTTTGAGGGTTAGATCTAACAAATTTTCATCAATGCTACCTGCTTTGACGCCCATAGTGACGTGGGCGCAACCGCTTGAGATCGTTGGAGCAGAGAGTGATTTGGGAAGTTCAATCAGCTGACGAATTGGATAAATTCATGTATGCAAACTAAACCAGACAACTGGACTAGAAACTCAGAGGCCAAAATTACCTTGCTGTTCCGCCGATCAAGTTCATCACGTTTATCCTCGCCAGCCGTCTTCGTATATAATGATCGTTTTGGTGTAACGGAAGTATGCGTAGGAGGTAGACCGTGATGAATGGAGAGTCTTCACAAAACTAATCGCCTAGATGCATTTTTTGTCTGATTTGTTGAACCGGTTGCGACTTATGCAGGCAATGTCACCAGGTCATCAGTTGTCTTTCATGTTGCGAAAAATCAGAGATTGAGGTAAAAATGACAGCTACATGCAGTGTCTCCACGTTGACCAAATCACACCTCACTGTGGGCGATACGGCTTGAACCAAATGCGACGGAACACAAATGTGCATTATGGGACTGCATTTTCTGTTTTCTTTGCGATGAAGTCATCTGTTTCGAAGGTAACACTTCTGTTAAAAAGGTCGTCTTCTAAACTGAAAATTGTTCCCAATTTGTAGGTGTTTTGCGCGCAGATGTTACTTCCCTCATGAGTCAGTTGTGTCGCGTCAACAGCGTCCTGAAAGTGAAGCCAGTCTATGCTGAACAGCCAAGAAGTATTGTACAGATGTTTCACCTCATTGGGAATAACCATCAGTTCGCACCCCGCGAAAATTCAGGGGATCTGGAAGCAGTGACCTTTTGGCTAGTAGTCTGAATATTACAACGTTTGGTCACGGACGGCTTGCCTGATGGGCAGCTATCTCCCGCTTAGGATATAGCAATATAGCACCATTCATCCTTCGGGCAAAACTGCAAAACACGTGATCGCTTATTGACTGGTTCTTTCAGTGACGGCTTCTCAGACTGAAGTTCCATTCATCTTGCAAGCTTATTCTACCGCTGATCTACCCATGGAGGAGAGCGTGAGGCGAGTTAAGATATCTCTGGAGTTTTATGAGATGCGGACTGCTATCGAGTCCCAATAAGGATGAACCAGCTGTACAATATTTCACTTACAGGGCAGAATATCCGTCGCGAAACAAATTTTGGCGCCGTTCACTTACTCCGCAAGTCAGTCCCATGAATGCTGCCTCCGTCATCAAATGGAGCGCGTTTTTCCTCGAAGAGCTACTTCTGGAAATATCCGAACTATCTTTCTCGAAGAAAATAGTCCCTTCCGGAAGCAAAAGCGATCAGGCCAGGTTTCTCGTGACATATACAGATTGTCTCATAATAAACGCAAAATGTAATTGGGTAATTTAACGTAACCAGTTGAAAGGAAGGTCGACAAATTTTTTTAATATTAATAGCCACATAAAGGAGGGTTTTTTTCCAATGTAGCTTTTTTCTGTCGATGATAAATGTTAATACACGCATTGACATTTTGAAACTCTATTATTCTCCTGGTGAAAGCGCAACCGCTGCACTTCGTGGTTACAAAGCCAAACATGGTCTGATCAAAGATGCTTCCACCGTGTCGACCATTGCACGCTTGATTGCAAGATTTTGGTCCAGTGGATCTGTATTGGATTTTTCTGGCAAAGGGAGAAAGTCTCTGAGTGATGAAAGAGCACCCATTGTACATAATGCCATCGAGCAACTTCAGTCCCAGAGCACCATGGCATCTTCATCAATAACTCAGGTGTCTCAGTTGACCGGCATTCCCCGCGCCAGCTTGCAACGTATCATGAGACGCCACCTTGGTAGATTAAGAGCAAGAATTGAAGAGGAGTGTGCACGAGTGATGCTTGAAGAAGTTAATCATGCTGTGGTTCACATCTGATACCGCTTCCAACTTGTTATAGAAGAAAAGGGAGATTTTTTACAGCGTTTTTGTAATGCCAGAGTAAACCTTCATAATGCCTTTGTTTATATAAAAATAATTAAATGGTTAAATTGGTGTTAGAGTTTTAACATGAGTATTATTTGCGTCTATTATGAGACACTCTGTACTACAATACTTTCATGAAATTATGGAAACCAAGCACAGACCAGTTTAATCACTCGTTAAATCAGTTCAGTAAATCTTATTGTCCAGTTCCTGGCGGTTCACTACATGCGTCCAATTGATTCCCGTGATACGAGGCTCTATAGAGCTCAGCTCTACATAAAGCTCAAAAATTCCACGGCGCGCCCGAAGTCAGATTTCTCTTAGCCTCTGTGCGTTAGTTAATGTAAAGGAGCTCGTTAGGATCACATACTTCTTATTTCCTGGTTGTCATTATTACCACGGTCATGCTGTGGTGCAAAGAAACCCGCACACACACCGGTTTTGCACACTCTACTAGTTCATCAAGTAATTTGTTAGTGTCCCTCAAGTACATTCGATGACTTGTTGCACTTACTAATGTGATCACATCATGACAATGTAAGCCTAGTTAATCTACCCTCAATGATGTGATGTGTGGAGGCTGAGAACGTCCGTTCAACGAGTTGTTTTGTTGCGAATTATCGTTGTATTCACCCCCTTGATAGCGAGACGCACCAACAAGACACTGAACTAATTTCTCGCAGAGTGAAAAAGAGAGAAACTCCAAGGCGTGCTGGTTTATCTAGATCAAGAATTCTAGACTGGTCGGACAAAAAAGTATGTGACCCATGGTATACCAAGCATTTTCACTTGACAGAAGTCGAGATAAGAACCGTTCTGTCCTTATATAAGCTGGTACACACAGTTCTGATTCTTGCTGATATAATGCGTACGGTGAGCATGAACTTAGCTTGCATTCAGCTGACTTCAAACATGTACACGCCTTACTCGATTGACAAGTGCCTTCCCTTTGTAGCTCCAAATTGCTCTCTGTCTTCTGCTCGTCTCAGCTAGTCTAGGTCAGCATATTCGGCCAAGGCGAAAACAACAGTCACGAAGCATACAGTCTGGTGAGTTTCTTTTCGACTGCTTCGGGAACTCAAAGGTGGGTGTTGGCTCAATGTGTCGCATCATCGCACACAGGCGACTGAAATTTACTCATCCCAAACAGGAAAACTCCGTTCTTCATAGAACCCGTTTTGTAAGTTCCCGCATGCGGTTACCACATTGGCTTTCGACTAACAAGCCAAACTGTCTGCGCAGCGCGGAAGATGGCCTGTCGCGCACAGCTGGACTGGAGAGCGAGCCTTTTGAAATCAGAGTAGATTCACGGAATACGTGGTACAAAACAGAAATCCACCAGTACTATTGAACCTGTTAATTATCATCTACAAATTTATACATGGGGTAGGGATGTCAGCTTGGTCAAAAAAGGATCAGTGGGAAATGAGTCCCCGTCTCGGTTGTAGATGCAATTTGTTCGTCGGCAGCAGAAAGTTGTCTGATGGTCAGGTATTACACAACAAAACACAAGCAGGTTCGTGATTCCTCCTCATAGGTGACATCACAAACCATGATAGCGATGAGAAACTTGATAGCATAGCCTGTGAATTCGATCGTCTAATTGGTATTTTATTCTAAACGTACCCTCGCTGGTGCTTGGTGTAACAGCAGGCCATAGTTCAGCTATGCCGGAGCAATGCATACTCCTGATTTCGACTCATCTGATGCGAAGACGTTTGCAACAAATGTGCCAACCCAACGCAAAATTACACCATCATCGTCACACACAAATTACTTTATTGCCAGCTACACACTGTGTACAAACAGCAAGTATAGTCAATGAACAGGGCACGGTGTTTCATGTTTGATCTTCTAGCCACTTAGTTGTAACAGCTTAGCTTTATTTGGTTTTCGTTCTTCCTTCTAAACTTACCTAATCCCAAAATAGTAAAATCTCATCGGGATTGATGCGAACAACGACCAGCCTAACTCTGTTCGACTAATTATCCCTTTGCGTTTCGTGCTGAATTCAGCTTCCAGCAAACGCTCAACACGTGTTTACGCCCATGATATTCCTCTCTCTATCTCTTTGTCTCTCTCTCTCTCGTTTCCCAGCCGATCCTACGAACACACCAATGAGTGTTTCCCGTCTGTCTGCCTATTGTCAATCAGCCGGCACAAACATCTCGGCTCACATGGCAGAGATTTGCAAGCTACTCGAACACTAGATGAGATGAGTTCTATCAGTAATTGTCTCTGGATTGCTTCACATTGTCATGCTGTCTGAATGGGGATGTTTAGTAATAGACGAAATACACTGATTATGAATGAACCAAGTTGGCTACTAGTTACTAGATCCCTGGGGTGTTATGTTCCAAGGGCTGTTGGGTTTTGGTAGATTACGGGATGGAATGTTTCACACCTGATTTTATTGTCCCCGTCTTATCAACGCGCGTAGCCTTTTGCCCCTCGAGTTTGGTGCATGCCAGCTGCAATTCCGGGAACTGTTCATGAGTTATGCAACAGACGGTCTGTCCTTGTAATAGAATTTCTACCTTTCAGCCAATCTGGAGTCTTATTTTCGAAAGATTGACCCGTTCGTACAGTTGTCCTCGTAGCAACTTGGTTGATTGCGAGGAAGTTAACTTACCTTCATAGTAACTCGTTTGCTTTTTACACCTTTTCGTTTGTATAACATAACGTGTGTCCGGAGCGAACACACTTATTCGAACCTAAGTTGGCGCTGTTTCACACACGAACTCCTAAAGATGGAAGATGGTCCTTCTGCGGTCTGTTCGCTTCTGGTGATTGACCAAATGGCACTACTTTGGCAGCGACACATTGTACCTGCATAGTGATGGCGGAACTCAATTGGAATAATCGGGATTCAAATTCGATTGGAATGTGGATTGCACAATTGCCAAACGGCTTGGACAAATATGCGTCGGATATTTTGGTCACGTGTTGTACACAGACCCATCCGCCAGACAGGGTGTTCGCAATGCCGATTTAGCCAGTGACGAGAGATTGCGAGAGCAAATCTTTTGAATCAAACAACCGTCCTATACGGTCTATACTGTCAATGGTACATCAGGCTGTGAGACTATAAATAACGTGACTGTGCCCACTCCACTTTCCTCCACATATCAGTGTCACGTAGTTTAAGCTGTTTAGCTGGTAACCGTGTAACGGAATCCTTGCACTGCACAACTCATTGGAGAGACAATCCCCAGAGCTTTACAAGTTTACTCTGATCTTCAAGACAAGTTTTATGTGCAACCAAGGTTGATCAGCTGGCAAAGTTTCTCTTAGTGTTATATGAACTAAGATATTCATTTTACACAGTTCTCTTCCATCCTCTATTCTGTTGTATTTGAACAAAAATAATGCTTGCTCTTTCCTTGAACAGCCGTAACGAAAGCGACCAAGCTAGAGGAGATTCTTTTACGACCGACGAGGTTCAAATATGACCGTCCACTAGAGCACGGACCCTGAGCAGCTCCAATATTGTTCCAGTTAGGCAGTAATTAAGATGACGCCATGACCTGCTGTTAGTGGTCAAGTAGTATGGAATCGGCAAAAATATCCATATTTGGACCGAAAATACTGGATTGTCTGAAAGAGTAGCGATTCTATTACAAAGAGGGTTTCACTGACAAGCCCGGTGGTTTCATATCTTATCACCACCAGTGGTCCGCAAACTCCTTGAGTTGTGATCTGTTACGCAGTCACCGAGTACATGAAGACCCCAGACTTCTGCATAGTTTACTGTCAAAGAATTCATCAACAACTTAATTAGGCTTTCTATTTATTTTGTCAGGTTCGTATGTTATGATCCCTTAACGTCGAATGTGGGCACAAGTCTTCGTTTATTTCCTGTTTTGTTGATTTGCTAGTCCTTGGCAAGCGTGACACTGTTAACCCCTATATTCTTAGAACGAGAAGAATAACTCATTGCTAAGATTGGTCGCCGTTACGCTCAGACATGCCTTATGTAATGAGGCACTTCGTATTAGTTTTTGTTGGGATCTTGTGAGAGAGGCCACTTGGTTCACCAAAAATTCACGCAGACTGTTGGGTTTCATATTCACGGACCGGTGAAAGCGCACTGATATCAAATGGACTAGAATGATTTTCACCCAGTAGAAACCAGGTGCAAAACCATGGTAAGAATGTATTTGGTCTTTTCGTCTGGATGCTGAGAATTTTGGATGTTCCAATTTCTATAGAAAGAAGTGAAAATATATACCTTTGTAATACACTACTCATAAGGTTGCTGAAAACTCGACAGCCCACGGCCGGTTTCGCCCTTCTTAGGGCTCCTCAGGTAGGCGCAGTCCCCGAGTTTCCGTCAACCTTATGTTCCGCTTGAAACCGAATTACACGAATTTAGCGAAGTACACTCATTTGCAAACTAATTTGTTTTTTCGAGAGACTCACCTGGAACCCAGCTGAATCTCTCGGTTTGGATGTTTCCAGGAAACATCCACACATAACAGTGAGATGCTAAAAGACAGCCAGTGATCACCTTTTCACCTTCTAGGCGCGGTTCGCTGAACTATGAGTACGGTTATATGAACGCTTGGAAGCCAAGAGAAAGTCATGTGGTTGATTCACGCAAACAAACTCGCGCAACAATATAATGGGTACCAACTCCAATAGAAAGAAGTAAAAGTTAGCGACATTCCTCAAGAGATGTGAGGGCTTGGTCTTCAAAAGCACAGTAAAACTAACCCTCTATG